CGGGGGGCCCCCGCCCCCACCCCTGCCACGCCGGACGCGCGCACCGCGCACTACGCACGGAGCTCCTCTGGTTTTGGAGCCGGCACCGGTGCGGTTACAGGTGGCACTGGCACAGATGCTGAATGTCCCCCAGACACTGAACCAGCTGCAAGGGATGCTGCCAACCTCCGTGCACCTCCGACGGCGGGACGGTCATCCCGGACCGCGGATCTGGCCAACATCCCACCTCCTGGCTCACTGCTTGCCCTAGAGCAAGGTCAGTGCCGGCCGGAGGATGCTAATAACGCCTGTTCCTACACGCACTGAGCCACAGCTGCAAATCCTGGTGCCTCCAAGGAGGTTCCCAGTGAAGCCATGAGGACAAACGACGCCTTTAAGCAATGCCTGCAGACCTGGCAGCGTTTGGCTCATAGGCACAGAGCTTCCACGCACGCCCATCGCCGGGAAAAGCTGGTACCGTCATTTACAAACGCCGCGAAGAGGCGCAAATTCAGGATTTGGCGCGCGAAGCGCGGCAGTAGACAGGCATCACCGGCGAGCTCCCGTGAGACCCAAACCTCAAAGGGTTTGTTAAATCACCAGTTAAAGATGGTTTCCCATCCAAAGGGCTTCAGGCTTCAGAGCCTCAACTTAAAATACGCTCAGGTAAGAGAATTCTTTCCATGATCAAGTCCTTCGAGTAAAGCAGATGTTGCTTCAAGGGGAGATGCAATAAATTCAGTTAATCATGGAATCATAGAATGGTTAGGGTTGGAAGGGACCTCAAAGATCATCCAGTTCCAACCCCCCTGCCATGGGCAGGGACACCCTCCACTACACCAGGTTGCCCAAAGCCTCATCCAACCTGGCCTTGAACACTTCCAGGGATGGGGCAGCCACAGCTTCTCTGGGCAACCTGTGCCAGTGCCTCACCACTCTCAGAGTGAAAAATTTCTTTCTTATATCTAACCTAAATCTCCCCTCTTTCAGTTTAAATCCATTGCCCCTTGTCCTATCACTACACACCCTTGTAAAAAGTCCCTCTCCAGCTTTCCTGTAGGCCCCCTTTAGGTACTGGAAAGCTGCTATAAGACAGCTTTTAATCACAGCTTTTTTAATCACATTACAGTTTCTTTCAGCCACTCGGAGACACAAAGAAACTGTTTAGAAAACACAAATATTCTTCGCCACCGTGTAGGACAAGTCCTGGTCCTGCCTCTTTCCTCTTGGACCAGGACCCCATGGACATCTCTCCTGCTCCATTCCCGCAGCAGCTGAAACAGCGTTTGTGATCGGAAATGAATCATTTTGCAATCAATTTTCGCAAGATTTCTGGTAAGGACAGCACATTTGAGCCCTCCCAAAGCACGAGTCCTCTCTAAAGGAAGCTGGAGGATCCTGCCTCTGGAAGGTTAGGGTTAGGGATTTTCCAGATGACAGCAACGTGTCAAAGCGGGGCAGGCACGTGTCCCTGGCCACGGGTCAAATTCCTGAGCCACAGGAGGGTTTATTTTGGAGGGCTGAGTCACTGCGGGGACGGGGACCACAGTGAGGATGGGGACCATGGTGCATCCCCTCCCTCTGCTCCATGAAGGTGTTCCAGCTCGCCTCGCTCAGCAGCTCCTTCCTGGGAGCAGCGGTGGCTGCCGGGCGCAGTGAGCGGAAAACACCTTTTTTCAACACCGAGTTTTTTTGGTCGCTGCCCATCCGTCGCCGGCGCTGCTGGCAGCTCTCCTGCTTGCGAAAGCAAAGGACATGGGGATGGAAATGATCCACGACGTCTTACGCAACCAGCATGGAGACCTGCTAGGGCATAAATATTTTTGCATCCACCTACATTTTTTAATATTTATTCATACGGTCCGCGTATCGCCAAGGCTGGCAGGGATGGCGCTCCCAGCAGGACAGAGATGTTGCC